AGAAGGACGAGTCCGTCAAGCTAAAGATAGGATCACCTTAAGAGGCCATATAGGGTTACAAGAAAGCATATTATAGACTCAGCCATTCTGCCTCTCCTCTGACCAAGTTCGCAGTCTATTTTTTAAGTGTAGAAAGCACGTAAGTTAATGTTTATTAGCTCCTGTGAAATAGATATTCAGGGTTTTTACCTCAGACGAAAAATGAATAAGGCGATAGGACAGAGGGTGGTGGTAGATGGGGAGGGGGGATGAATGAATGAAAAATTTCTGTATCCCCCGCTGCCTTCCACTGACTTCAGCTACCAACGACGATTTATATGCTGCCAGAGAAAATCTATAATAAAAAAGTATGACTCCCACATAATTCAATAGTAAGAAATTGGACAGCGGGTCTCGTTTCATTCCTTGCACCAGGGCCCATGCCAACCACGCTACGCCACTGCCAGTAAGGTATACCTTGCGTGTACAGTATATATTTGAGGCAAAATGGCTGAGTCTATAATATGCTTTCTTGTAACCCTATATGGCCTCTTAAGGTGATCCTATCTTTAGCTTGACGGACTCGTCCTTCTGCTAGCGGCGTGAGAAAAGAACAAAGCTCTTCGCACCACCTGGGATTAATGGTTCCTTTGGCAGTTTGCATCACTCAGAAGTTCTGTCTTTCAAGCGATATGTGACTTGGCAGCTCGAACTTGTTCGTAGCATTTCGTGAGAATTCATTGGAGCCGAGACATGCTCCTTTCAAGGATGTTCTCGTGGGCTCATTCCCGTGCCTGCCTGCTTGTTTTGGGTGCAAGGAGGGAGAACAAAAAACCCATTCATTATGAGGGAACACCATTCATTATGGCCGTGGAAGCTGAAGAAGAAGCTGTTGGTGCTGGGGAAAAGCACAGGAGGGGGGTGAGAACAGACGACCGATTAAGAGGCTATGTAGTGATGGGGGAACCCCTAGAGGGGAAGGTTGCATTCTATTTGGGAATGAAGCCAATTAAAGGACACACTTCGTTATAGAAATCCATTTTGGAGGGAAGGAGGGAGAATTTATTTTCTTTTTTGTTTCTTTGTCTGGACTTCAGTTTCTCGATAAAAAAATTTTTATCTCTAATTTCAATGTCTTCAATCACTTTTAGTGACTATATCGTACTCTGCCGAATGAGGTTTGAAGTACTTCGCACAGATGAGAGAGATATGTGAGAACAAGGGAGAGAAGGAGAGAATTCAAGTTTTTGTCTTCTATGACACTAATTGAGGCGAAGAGTGGTGTGGAGAGCCTTTGATCCCCTGCCAAATCCTCGCTTTCTTTGTCTCTTCGTCTACTATTTCCCCTACCTTCTCTCACTTGGCTGTGCGCGTGTGAACATGACCTGGAATCTCCATGACACCTCGATCTTCAGTGACAATCAGGGCGGGGTTATATATTCCCTTGGCTGTCATGCCTCATATGCGAATCAGCCGGTAATCGAGGAGAGGGGAGAGAAGGCTAACCCTAAAAAATAGTGTGGGGGGGGGGGGGGGGGGGGGGGGGGGGGGTGGGGGGGGGGGGGGGGGGGGGGGGGGGGGGGGGAAGTGGTGTACGAGTGGGAGTCGAATGTAGGGGATTTTCTGGCAACGAGACAAAGACTAGCTCTCCGAGAAATCCGCTTTTCTTTATCGAGCGCAGCCAAGTGTAGGAATAGGACTGCGGGTAGGTTCATGTGTGATGAAGAGATATCCTATTCGATCCAGGTGGTTTCACCAGGTCCAGAGCTTCCCTAGAATCATCCCTCCACCCCAGGGTGAGTTCCTCTTCCAGGTGAACCGTCTTTCTTCCCCAGGGTGGTTTCCCCAGAGTTGGCATTTCGTTAGGACTCCTTTGTACTTTTCTGGGCCCGTGTAGAGGTGCATGGTACCTAGCTCCTAGGCCTGTCGTTTCACGCTGTCTACCTTTTACTCGAACCTTGTATGTTGACTATCCATGGCGCTATGTCCGCAAAAGAGCGACAGCAACCCTAGCCCCATAAGCCGACTCTGAAAGGGGCACCTCTGCGAGTAGGAGAAATGGCGAACCCGTGGAAGACAGAAAGAACTACTTTTTTCTCACTATACAGGGTGACCCAATATTCAGCGATAGGATTATTAGAGTATTGATTATTTCCTGCTTAGACTGTTTGGACTCACCCGCCTACCTGATGAGATACTTTTGCCAAACTTTCAGTATCTTAACGGAAGAACTTCATCCAAATGACCCATTTTGGCAACTTTGCATCACCTGATCAATTTTGACCACTCAGGGTTACCTGAATTACGTGGTCAAAGCAACCTTGGTATTACAAGATTTTATCAGGTAGGCGGATGGGTTCCAAACAGTCCAGGCATTAAATTATACATTCGTTAATCCTATGATTCCTGACTTTTGGGTCACCCTGTATGGCAAGAGAAAAAGAGCTAGACAGCTGAGAGATGGCCGGCGTCATGTCTACGCTTGAGAAAGATAAAGGACCAAGTCATATGCCTCTTCCATATAGCGCTATAACTGTGGTAATTTTTCTTCATGGAAATATGTGTCTGTCATACATTCGTAATAGGGAATCCAACGGGAAGTAGATCTCAGAAGAGATCATCATCTGGAGGCACCAAATGTGAAAGATGGGGCTATGTGAATCGGTGTTAATCAGTGCTCGAAATTGGATTTTTTTTTTATTGGAGGGAGGGGGGAGGATGGCTGAGAATAGCTCTATTTAATGCTCCCCCTTCCCCCACAAAGGTGCTGACCAGGGGAAGGAGGAAGACCTGGGTGGGCGTTGCGTCATGAATTTTCAGCTACTTTTCGTGCTTGTCCCATCTAACCCGATCTGACGGAACTTCTTCTCTACGGCATTAGTCAATATTCGCATGAAAGCTTGTCGTTCTTCGGCAGGTGCCGAAACCCCAAAATACCCCCATTTTGATTTTTGTGGGATAGCTCAGGTCGAAAATTAGTCTTGGCGGGATGCCATTCCGCCCCATTTCAAAGACTGCTGTTACCTAATGTCCGACCAAGTCTGTCGACCGGGTTCGGCTCGACTTGAACCTTGCCGTGATGGTGCTGCCAAGAGAAAATGGAATGATGTCAGTTGCAACAAGAAGATATCTGCTGCGAACTTGCTCTACTTTTAATCAAAAGAAAAAGCCAAGGCAGTGATAATGTTGTTTGATATTGTGCTGAAGATATTAATATCGGTCAGATATTGCTTAGATATTGACCGGATTTTCCAGGCCCCGAAATCTGGGAAAAGTCAAGGATTTGCCCCAACTTCTAAAGGGAACTCATGAAAAGTGCTGCAATTGCTCGTCGAGGAAAGTTTAGGGAAACCGCCCAAATTCCTAAAAGCTAGGAAAATTCATTAATTGTCGCTCGGGGAGTAACTGCGAGAGAAGGAAGACCGTGTGTAGAAGGTGGAAATCGTTGACTTGGACGTTTCCTTATGTTGAGCGATAATCTCCGAAAATACCTGAAAAAGTCAGAAAAATGTATTCTCAAGATATGTGAAAACCCTGAAGGGAGTTCATGCTTGTGTTTCAGTGAGTATCCCGCCACCAGAGGGAGAGAATGGGGAGGAGGAGGAAGAAGAAGACGGAAATACAGGAAAAGGGAGGAAAGGAATGGAGAACCTCCCATCCATCCATGAAATCTCCGAAGAAGAGGCAAGGCAAGCTCTACACAAACACGCCCAACACAAGACCTGCTATGGCACCACCACCGCAAAACGCATGGCCATCACCAAGATCATCTCCTCCTCCGCCTTCCATGTCAGTCTCTGTCCAACTCCTGCTCCCCTTCCTTGGCTTAATTTCGTTAATTAGCTTGATTTAGTTTATTTAGATACTTGATGGTTTGATTTATTCAACTTAGTTGACTTACGCTAATTTAATCGACGTGACAGACAACTCAGCTTTTGGTTCATTCTAACTCATTCCATGAACGTAATCGAATTAGCTTTACTGAAATTTGGGTTATGAACTTGAGAAAATTACCTTTACGAAGTCAATTTAATTATAGGTAAGGTCAATGAAGACTGATTCTGAGCTTTGTTTATCGATAGTACGAGCTGCAGACATTCACAGAGAAGCGGGAGACGTCATGGGCCTTCACGCCCTACGGAGGGGGAGGGGGAGGGGAGGGTGAAGACGGAAGTCACAATGGAGCCCCGTTGCCCTGGGACATCCCTGCTTCGCCTTCACGGCTCTTCCACGATGAGGTCAAAGTTCTTGACGTCCCCGGGACGACTTCCATCAAGGAATGTCATCGATGCCGAGGCGCTGGGAGCCTTCTCTGCAACGAATGCCACGGCAAGGGATGGGTGCGTGACCTTCGTCTTCGCTTTCACCTTCCCGTTGACTTCCCCGAAATATCCCGCTTTCCCTGTTTCAGACGGCTTGCATGACGTGCCATGGGGATGGGTGGAGGACGGACTCCCACGGTCAACGGGATCTTTGCTTTTACTGCCAGAGCAGCCGTCATGGGCATGGAAAACAGGATTGCCTCCAGTGCAATGCACACGGATGCGTTGCCTGTCCGACCTGCGATGGATTCGGCCAGCTCCGCTGCTTCATCCGACTTACCATCACCTGGTCTCTCTCTCTTCAGCTTCTTTAGTGAAAAGCTCATGAGTAGGGATAGGATTTTTGGCAAATAGCTTTGGAATGACTTGACATGAATGTTCAAAAAATCCATATCAAGTCTCATAGTACGTCTATTTTCATGGGTATTCCCTAAGCTAATACTATACTACTAGCATTCCCTAAGTATAGTACCTATGGCCTATTATAAGCTTCTTTGTGCTTTGAGGGCTAATTTTTTTCTTCATATTTTGAGCTTATTACATGTATACCACCCAAATTTCCCAAGTGCCAAAAATTCCTAGTCCTGCTCATAAGGGAATGGCATTTTAGGAAGACGACGACATCCGAGCACATCGTGGAGAGAAGTTGCCTGCCCGAGGGCTGCATCCGGACGGTGTCAGGCCAGGTAGCCTTTGAAGAGGAGCACTCCAGGGTTCTTCCACTCAGGGCATTCCCTGATGAGACTATCAAGATGGCCTCTGCCCAGCTGGTCCAAGATCATGCGGCTCGCTTCCACGACCAGAGGATCCTTGCTCAGGTTTCCTGCTCTATTTTATAGCTTACGCAGCAAAACTCTTTCACACTCTGGGGGACTGAATTTTTTTTATGACGCTGTGGTGACTCTTTCCTACTACTTATGGTTATATCCTTCAAAGTAGTCCTCTTTGGCATCTACATAAAATTTTCAATGTTTCTTCAGCCATTGGATTCATTGCCCACACTCGCCTTTTGGAATCACCAGCAGTGCTCGTGGCGCGTTTGTAACGCTGCTTTAAATGTCTGAAATTTCCTTCCTTTTTCAATTTCAGCGTTTTCTGACCTACCTGCCAATCCCCATGCTTCATAATCCATCCAACTCACTGGACTTAGCTCCTAGTAAACTCTTCTTGTTCCCTAAGCTAAAGAGTTTCCTGAAATGAAGGAAATTTCAGGCGTTCATAGCAAAATTGTAAACACGATGCGAGCACTGCTGGTGATTCCAAAAGATAAGTGTCAGCAATGTTTCCAGCGCCTGAAGAAGCATTAGAAAATGTTGTGTAGATGCCAAAGAGGACTAGTTTGAAGGATATAACCATCAGTAGTCAGAAAGAGTCACCACAGCATAAAAAATAAGTAAGTCCCAAAACTCTTTGATCACCCTTTGTATTTGATACTTACAGTGGAACATATAAAAGCTTTGATTGCTTTCAATAAACTTTACAGCATTAATTTACTTGGTGGATTTCTTCAGGATAGGTATTTTCATTACTGTTTCTAAGCAATGAGTTATTGCAATTTTTTCAAGGCATTTGAATTGCCTTCAATTTTTAGTCCTTAATTCATTGCAACCTACTGCAGAGATATCCATCATGCTTATTTTCAAGTGGACAGTTACTCCAAATGTTTCCATATGTTTGAATTGCCCTGTACTTGCTAAAGGGTAGGGCTAGAAAAAGTTCATCAACTTCACGCCATGTGACTCCGCTTTTGCAAGACAGAGATGTTTTCATGAAACACGAAAACATCCATAGGTTCATTCTGATATGTTCTCACCAGGTTTGTGAAACTTCATGTAAGTTTACTCTGTTGAAGTAAGTCTGTGAGAATTACTTAAAGAAGTTTAAAACAGTAAATAGATCCCAGCCTTTGCTGGGAGATAAGTGGAGGAAACTATTGCTGCATATAATTTCAAGTGGCATATGGTCTCTGGGGCTGGAATGGAAAGGAATTTACACCCTGTCCTTATTTGCTTTTTGATGTCTTTATCTATTTTTATTAGCAGCCTTACATTGGCAGGACAAATTAGGAAGAAAATGTCTAAGTCTGCTGGAAACATCCCCATAAAGAGAGGAGCTACTTTTAGTTCAGTCATGTTTTTTTTTGTTACTATGACCTGTATATGCCTTTAAGATGTGAATTTGACATGGTGACCTGCTGCGACTGTTCACAGAGGCATCAGGTGCGGATCGTGCCAGTGGCAAATGTCCATTATGAGTGGAAGCACTATGTGGGTCACTTCTTGGTCTATGGATTTGAGCAGAAGGTCCATTGTCCTGACTATCCACAGACATGTTGCTGGGGATGCCAGATCCTTTGATCCCGGTTGCACAAAAAATCTTCCTGACTGTGATCATCCAGGATACTCTTGTCTCTTCTACTTTCATATTACTGTATTTGGTTGTTGCTTGCATTTTTGTCCCAGTCATTGGAGTCTGAATCAATGGAAGCTATGATGGAGAATCCTGAATCTCATGTGATAATGTCTTGACATGAGTTTTCTCTCTTGGTCATGTTAAGGCAAAAGACTTTCTCTCAAGCTGTTGAAGCACTGCTATCCCTCATCTCTCCTAATTGATTTAAGACAATTTCATTCATTCATTTCCTGCACAAGTTCTCTCTGAGATAATTTCTTGGAACTATCTTGCAATGTGATGTGCAAGTTTTGTAGTCTCATAGCTGATAAGAGGAAAAGATCAGAAAAGCACTTTTATGAGTCAATAATACTGCACAAACCATGGATACTTGGGAATGTCATCACACCCATGCAACATGTGCCAGTAATGACGAGACCAAAGATCATACAGTGCTGGCATATTTTCTCAATGTGTTCTGTCTTCTTGCTCAAATTAGAATTTTCATTTCACTGCAAAGGATCTCTTTGATGTTTATTTACGTCTTCATTGTATTCTATCGTGCCCACGTTTTTCATGTTTTCTAAGTGTTTATGAGGTAGCCCAGCTCAGGTGTTCAGAGGTCTCCCTTGTTGCTTCAGAATGACAAAGAGAAATGTATTCAAACATGTATGTTGTTGTGTCTGCTATGGAAAGGCTGACTTATTTGTTCATTCCCACATTATGTGATTCCTGTATGTTTTTAATCTAATAAAATGTGATAATGGGCTAAATTATTGCAGCCTAACTGGACTTGGCAGCTATTTCAAGTTCCCCCCCCCCCCCTCCAAGCAGTTGAGTTTACCATCGTCTCCCTACATTTCCATTCTTCAGTACTGCACATCCCAACTAGGTTACTGTTCAAGTAGGCTCCAGCATCCTCCAATCCAAACCTTTGTACTCTTTTTAAACAATTGAAGCCTGAAATTATGGGATAATAACAGTAACTGTGGGAAAAATTTTTCCAAAGGTATCTTTTAATAGGGGGCTCTTCTGCAATGGGACTTGCATGGCCACTTGAGAGACCATGTTATGGGAATGATCCAATGAAGTCATCTCTTGATAACACCCCTGAAAATCTATCATTTCCATGGTGTCCCTCTCTTTGTAATTTGCCACCACAGACTTTCTCTTTCCCTGAATATCTACTGAATGCTACATTTACATTACAATCATATTTTCTGGTTGAAATATCTTGACAAATAGAGTTCAGCAGCACAAAGGTGTTTCAAGTCATCAATTAAAATACCTCAGGCACCTTGTCTCAGTTTTTAAAGATGGGTTGTATCTTTTGCAGCATGGAACTTGCCAGTTTTTCCAGTAATTGACTTGCCTTTCAGCACAACATTAAGTCTCTCTACTAACTTGTAGGGGCATGTCATCAGAAACAAGCATATGCATTTGCCCCTTTACTGCCAATGACACATCATATCATTATATGACATGATGACCACATGGCACACCATGATCTCATTATACATGTGCACATGTATAATGAGATCATCAATGTGCGGCAAATGGGTTAAGTTACACTTACAGGCTTCTTGGGCTCCTTGCTGACTGACAAACACAGGTGATATTTCAGAACACTCCTAAGATTGAAAAGTATGTGTATGTTTTTCTTTCATCAGGAGCTCCCCATGTCAAAGCAATAAGTTAGCTCATGCATGGGATGTATTTACTCTTCAGAACTTGGCATAAGCATTGACAGGCTTTGAAAATTCAGCCTAGTCATTCCTTCTTTACATGCATCAGTTCATTGAATTCCAGTAGTTGAGAGCTGCAATCACAAGATTTATTCTTGCAATAATGCACATCAAGCCACCAACATATGCATGGAACAAAGAATGTGAGGTGATGCAACAAATCTCATAAATGCTCTGCATTTTTTATTCTTCTTTTTCCTTGCAGACACAGGGAAAAAGAGGATTCAGGTACATTGTGCCATGCCAGCAAACATTCCCCAATGGGAAGGGGCTCAGTTTGCTGATGAGGATTATTTTCATCATCTCTATTAAAGAGAGAGGAATAAACAAAGAGAAGACCCCATTGAGCAAACACCAGGCTCCCTAGCATAATAAGGTAATCTCCATGTCATGATCTTCATCACATATTGATTTCATATTTATGTCATCATCATCATCATAGAATGGAATCTGACATAGATCAACACCACTCATCAATTCTGAGCCATTAGGCACAGCAAGCTAATGGACAGGCTCAAGTTTCAGTTCAGCTTTATGCACATTACGTTTTAAGTGCCACTTAATGGAGCTAAGTGGAATCCCATGTGCTTAGACATGTTACACTTTCATCCATTCATTAATTTCTCCACAATATTAATCTTTGGGGAAAAAAAAACATTCATGACAAAAAAGCACCCATTGCTGCAAAAATGAAGCTTCTGCTTGGACTGGCATTTTTTGACACTTCCCAGCTGACGAGAGATCAACAGGACACAATTAAGCACTTTGTTGAATAGTGGTATGCATTAAGGAAAAATCAATAATCAAATGCTTATTAGATGTAAATGCTTACACATAATATGGATACAAATAAATATATTTTTGGGTAAACTGAAAAAGGCTTCACTCACTTCTGTATGTCACTCTGACTGAATTCATGGACCTTCTTTTCTTTCTCTCCTTCCCCCAAGGACAGAAATACTTGTTTGGCTTTGGGAAGGGCATGGTGTGAATGTGCAATCCTTTTCCTTGCTTTCATGCCACATGATTAGGCATTCAAGCATATAACCAACCATGGCCAAAGCAAAAATGATGGAATTCTATTGATTTTTGCTGAAATATCACCAAAAATTATATTTAAAAAACTTTCTCACTTACAGGACTCTACAGAATATTACTTGTTTTAGTAAATAAGGGAAATTTTTTGTATGGAGAATGTTGAGGAGTTACATTCAAATTTAGGGAGAAGAATCCTTCACACTAATTGAATAGAGCCCAGCCCTACCACACCATATACAATTTAAAGAGAGCAAACATATATCACAATAAGGAACTGCAGTTTGAGTTGGGTGCATACAGAATTGGCAGAGGGTCATCAGGTGACAGAAATAGTGAGAGGGGGAGAATGCCTCCAGATGCATTCTGATGAGGGTAAGTTCTTCACCATTGGGAGATTCTCATATGGATTCCCTCCTCCAACAGTCATATGGAGAGGAGAATCCTGGGATAATGATCCATCCCCTTCATATGCAATGCAATACAAGTCTACTTTGTATGATCCTGGAGTGAGCAGAAGGAGCCCAAATCGATGCTCATACTCAGCATGCTCCCCAATCTGATAAAAACATCATCACAATCCTTAGCTTCAGGCAAAAATAGGACTGAAAATCTTGAAAGAAAAAATGCAAAGATAGATTTTGTATAGGTAAAGTACCTTTGTAAGGATAAAAAAAAAAGAATACAATATACAGAGGAGTTGGTTCATGCTCACTGCTGAAAGGAGAGTGCGATCAGAGCCAATGATAGCAATTCGTCGCTCCAAATTATAATTATGGTTCCCATTCTCAAGATCTTGGAAGACCTGGATGCGGAGGAGGAGACGAGGGAGAGGCATTGGGCAGAGGTTCACCAATGTCACTGACATCTCCAATATTTCCCCTGGACCACATCCTACCTCATCCCCTTCTGTCTCCCTTCCGTTCACACGAACCTCTGGTGAAGCAAGACAAGAAAAAGATTTGGTTTCACAATCATACTGAATGAAAATATATTCCAGGTGCAAAGTTGAATATATGATCACACAATCATCCGATGATTAAATAATTTTTTTTGAAAATGGTAAATGAGCTAAATGGTCTGCACTTTACTGACATGGCACATGCATGCCAAGTACTGGTTGCACATGCTAAGAGATTGCAGTGAGTAGGACCCATGATGAATCTGAAGCTAATCACATAATGTTGAAGATGCTGGTTCTTGCAAACACAAAGCTAAAACAAATGCATGCTAAATGAAAGTTGCGGAAGAAAATCTTCCTTTCATTATACTATCTTAATGAACTGGTGGTTTACACATAAGCATGATTATGAAACTGATGATGATAATGAGATGAAGACTCACGCCACTTGATGGGGGGAACATGAAGGAGGTCCAGCATGCGAGGTGAGAGAGGGAGTGAGGTGAGGCACGCATTTGCACTCCCTCTTACTTCCACAGAAGGAATCCGCCACTTCAGGTCCACCTGCTTCAGAACATCCTTGCGAATCCGCTCCATTTCTTCTGTATCCCCCAACTGAAACATCCACATGTTCCTTTCCAATCATCTCATTCATGGAATCACATAAAAAACAACAAGAGGATGGCTAGCTAGTTACTAGTAGAAAGAGGAATATGTGCTGAGCCATACTTTGGGGAATGTCGGTGGTATGAGGGGAGATCGCTTGATGGGGATGGGGACACGACAAGCATCCATTGCCTCCAGGACTATCTCCTTCCCCTCTGCATATTTCACTTCCATCTCATGAGGTGTCTGGTTCAAGATGTCTGCCACCAAGTAGCATTGCTCCTCCCTGCCCATGTGAAGTCATTATCATCCACTCCAAGATGACAAGCAAGAGATGTGGGGTAATGGAATATATGCAATGAGGCATAGAAGGAGAGACTCACAAGAGAGCTGGAAGGACATCACAATGCGTTATGCAAAGAGATGGTTTGACTTCGACACTCATGGGGATCCCAAGACGTCTTGCATATTCCTTCTTGATTCCTTTCCCTCCTGAGTACTTCACCCACAGAACTCCCCCCAATACCTGCAATGGCCCTTCCATGATGGCTTCCTTTTACAAAAGGACAAAAGAAAAAAGATTCACAGCATACTTTGGCATGGAGTGACTTGTTAAGAGAGGCTGCAGTTCCTGTTCCTATGGGACCAAGGCTGGAGTGCCTGCTTCCACTGGAGGACTTCATGGACACACTGGAGTCACTCCTCTTTGGCAGGAAATTCCCTAAGATGATACCTCCTCTCAATGACTGGGACTGGAAGGGTGTCTGAAGACTATGACTCAGGCCCTGGCTGCTCCCCATGCTCCCAGTTTCCATCAGAGCTGTGAAAAACAATGTGAAGGATGAGGGATAACAAAGTCCATGTTGATGAGATGAAGATGCAGTAGAAACATAAATTGGTCAAGACCAGTCCAGTTGTGCGCCTTCTTTTCTTATGAGGTGTTTCAACTTATCACCTCCTTGAGCAACATGCTATCGCACTGATTCACAACCAGTTCACCAACCCATTGGAACAAACAAAGTGGAAGATGGAAGGAAGTTGAAACATAGTCCATAGTACAATGAGGAGATGGGCAAAGTAGGGCTCTGTATGAAACACAGAGGGAGTCATCTGATAGTCATCCACTATCTCCTGATAACCCAATGCAGGTACAAGGTGTTGTCAAAAGTTCCAGGATAGATTTGATTACCCTTAGATCAGGGGTGCCCAACCTATGGCCCACGGTGATTCCCAAAAATGATTGTTAATGTAATATTAATATTTAAAAAATAGGTATTGCAGCCTGCGGGAGGTCCCTTAAAGGGCAATGCGGCCCAGTTTGGCAAAAAGGTTGGCCACCCCTACCTTAGATGAATCATTGTGAAACACAAACTCATGGGCAATGCATCACATCGTGAAAGTGTCAGAGCTAGAGAATTATTTTTCAAGTGTTACTTTCAGTCAGTTGGGAAACATGATCTGCAATAGACATTTCAGTTGTGTTTTGGCTCAATGTCATACAATTTCAAAGTCAAGATCCAGAGATCTTTTGTGAACAGCAAATGGTGATCCATCAGATGCAGATGTTATTATATGACCAAGAAAAAATTACATAACTTCCAGTGGGAATAAGGAACCTTTTAGAAGCTCCAAAAGGTGCACCTGTACAAATCTCAAGTGAAGACAATGCTCATCACCTTCTTTGTCAGTACTGGGATTGTCCACAAAAAGTTTGTTCCACAGGGGCAGCTAAAGAACATCTCTGCAATGCAGTCATGAAGCATCTGTGTATCAGCAACTGTCAGAGTTGTCCAGGTCATTGTAAGGATGGGAGCTTGTGTCTCTTACAAGACTATGCAATGGAACACTCTGCCCTCATATGCAGTTTTTGGAAAAACATGAAGGCACTGTGATGGATCATCCACTTCATCCACCTTATTCACCTGACTTCTTCCTGTTTCCTAAGTTGAAAACTGTCATGAAAGATTCCACTGTGCATTCTAGAGGGGATTACTATTGAGGACAACCTTTGACACAAGGGAATGGACATTTTCTATGCAGTAAGAAGTTTCAGTTCAGGAATGTTGAGACAGAACCTCACATATGTAAACATTTAAAATAAGTGATGCACTTGTTATTAGCACAAATTTATCCAAAATACACTCACTCTTTGTCTTGTCTGCATCCATGCACAATGGTAATTTTCTGTACTAACAACAGAAAATTTTTTTCTATACCATTTTTGAGCAAAGCAATTGAGAAGAGAGTGACAGGCAGGACACAGGACTATGAGCTATCCCCTTTCTTTCTGGAAAAGAAGTCCAACAGTGAAACAAAAGCTTCCAGATCATACGGTGATTGGATAGGGAAGGGCAGTGAGGAGCTGTGATGGTGAGAGTGAACGTGAGGTGACTGCTAGGCTGAATGGGAAGCTGGGCTTGGATCACATCTTTCTCCCATGAAAAGACTTCCCCTTCTTCATATCCTTCATCCTCCAGTGATGATTCCAAAGTCACATCCATCAAACACACCTCACAGTCAACTGATTCATTCTTCAGCTCCAATTCCACCGTTCGACTGTTGACAAGACAATCAGACCATCTTGCATCACCCTTTTCCTCTGTTTAACCCTTGGATGTGGATCTTGCTTCATGAGCTGTTCAAGACTCATGATATAATTCTCAGGAAAACAAATGGGTAATACCAAAATCTGGCTGTCTCCATATTGAATACTGATAAAGATGGCATATACTCATGTAAAAATGCCTCCTATTGCACATACATGAAATTCCTCCTAGAACCACTTATCTCATACAAGGGGTGAAGCAGAGACTGCAACTCAGTCACTATAGACACTAACTGTGTTGGTAGTGTTGTGATTCTGCTAATACTGTAAATATTTTTTTTTCCCACCCTGTGCATTACATGAAAGCTGCATTTTTGTCAACTAAATGTATAATTGTAATCATATGAGTGATTTTGGAAGCCATTCCTTCTCAATTTGACATATCATATTCACTGAGGATTTTTCTCAAGAACTCATACAAGATTACATCCTATATTTTTACCTTTCCAGCAAAAATATCATGCAAATTTTATTTTAAATTCCACATGTGAGGGGTTAAGGGAGACCAAAGGAACTAGAGATGCCATGGTACTTCTACCAGTTACTATCATTTGGTGGAAAAAGAGCCAAGGTAAAAAACCTTCCTTATATATTGATGATTTCCATTTCTTATGTCAGACAAAAACTTAGTTTTTCAAAACAAATTCTTATTAAGCCTTTTCTTATGAGAAAAGACGAAATGTCGGTTATTCTTAAGAAATATCAGAATTTTTAAAATCAGAATACCAAGCATAGCCAAAGTTGCCTACCTAAAAAGAATTCTAATAGTAATCTAACCCTACCTTTCTCCAGCAAAGAGAGATAGTCTGATGGGAGGAGGCTCAGAACTGGGAATGGGACTGGAACTGGGCACTGGGAGTGCATCCATCTGTTTCCCCTCCTTCCAATTTTGATTCATGTTGTATGAGAGGGACAAAGTTGGAAGAGGGGGAATGATCTTGATGTCATAGCCTGAGATCCCCAGGGCTCTCAGTCGACAAGTTGACTTCATTCCCAGCAGCTGAGTTGTGTACCCTTCAAAGAAAAAACACTCCCTGTCTAACAATAGGAGAAACAGAGATGGCATACAAAAGAGATCGCAAGAAGAGAAAACTCAGAGCATTTGAAAAATGTGACACTACAAGTTTTTCATCATGCAAAATAGATTGACCTTAAAGTTTTAAAAAGAATATAAAAACAAACTTTAATATTCAATCCTCAGGCTGGAGCCATTACATTTTGGAGTTTTGCGAAGGAAATAAGAATTGTGCCAACTCCAAATTTTTTACATGTAGACTTGGCTAATTTCCAAAGTCTTCTGATTTAACTCAGTGATAAAACCAGGAAGTTCATTTTTTCAGTCAGTAGATATTTTACATTAAGCTGTTTCCTCCACTGGCAGTTTCATGTCTGTAGAGGAAAATAATTTCTCAATTGGATAATCTGGCAAATCTGGATGGGGGTGCATATGTGTATCACTTATTTGGCTTGAGGGCCAGAATACTTAGGGGTGAACCAGGGGTAACGTGACACTGCCCCAGATGATGAATTCTACTGACAGAGGCAGCATTTTCTTACCACACTGATAACATGCCCTTGCCCAAGTCACCTGCTATGAAAGAAACAGTTGCTTCAAATACAGAAATGAAGAGTCTGGAGCAGTGTCAATCACTTTGTATATCACTTTTGCCGTGGTTAACGCTTATCAAGCTAACTCTGCACTAGAAAATTATTTTTCTACTGATCAGTTTAAATATGAAGGAGATGATGTTAAGTGGGAAGGGGAGAGAGGGCACCACTCATGCTTATCTTTGATACTGCATGAAAAACTGAATTTAGCTAAAGGCTACAGAAAGTTAGAAGACTGCACAGGCACTTTGTTTTACATGTTGCTTAGGGAACAACATTCACTTTGATGGAAGACTCAGTGGAAGCAAGTGAAGTAAAGAAAGCTGATAGGCAGGAGTACAGAGGGAAATGCACTGACCAAGAAGCTTGAGGTCCCCACTGTCCTGTGGAGTTCCTGAGAGCAAGATAACATCAGGTGATAGAGGTGCCACAGTCACTGAGCATGACTCACTTTGGAACTTCACCCCTGATGTCAACAGACTCTGGGAAACAACATCTAACATCATCATCCATCAATCCAAATGATGCTGGAAAATGTGGAAGAGATCATGAAATGGGGCTCACAATGGAGGAGACCTTGAGGTCAATTGGGAGAGGGTTGAAGACATTCAGGGCTACATGGCATATATCTCCCACCACCCAATTGAAATCTGCAGCAAAGATCAAGCATCAAAAGTGAAGGTAGAAAATCACAATATTTCTTTAAACAGAAAAACATCAGGATAAAGCCTTTCCCAGCTCTAGAAAATCGAGTTGACATTACAGGCAACAGTTCTAGCTACCTTATTACAGCCACCTGATGCAGCAATTTTCCAGTTCTCAATTACTAAGGGGCTACATCAGTGCAAGTGCTTAGAGTACTTATCGTTATTTAATATTTTCTTCCAATCAAGGCAAATACCAAAAGGCATAAAATAAATGCACCACTCACAACAGTCAAACTTAGTGGTTGGGTTTTCCTTCTTAGACTTCAATGCAGATACCTAAGGGGTTTCTGATAGTGGTATATCCAAATTTTTCCCTCCAGGGATACCAGCAAGAAAATAGGTATAGACTAACCTAGAGTACCAGTGTCGCCTTTTTCCATATCTGATGGGGAAGCTCTAGCATCCTTGTTATTGTAGGTCTGGAAGGGACTGAAGATGAATGGTGAGTCAGACTGAGACCTCTTTGGCCCTTTCAGACGAACTGGTCTCGTGGACAATGGAGGTGCCAGTGGCATAAAAGACCTACAAGAGGAATTATCAACAAGATAAAATTATTCAGGAGGTACTTGCAACTGCATTACATAGAGGAAGAAATAATGGTGAAGTGGACCTCAATTCAGGAAGTTGAGTGAGATGGACAGGAGGGACAATAAATCCATTGTCTAAAGCAAGTGGGATAGAAAGGCTGGAATCAGAGGAGACAGCTAAGCCTTCCAACTGGAGGGCATAATCCCGACGTTCATTGAGGCTCAGATGCTTCATCATGGACGTGAGAAGGAAGGCAAGATGTTGGGTTGCTAAAGTAACATTTCCCATTCGACGAGCACATGCAATCAGCTCCTCGAGGAGACAGATCTGTAGAACTGCCCAACCACTGGAACCTGCAAAAACAAAAGGTCAATAATTGCTGTGCAAATAATGATTGACACATGCTGGAAGGTAGAGAAACATGCAGGTGGAGTCCAGTCCCCCCTACTACTCTCATTTGGCAATAGTAGAGTCCTTAAATGCTACCAATCATAAGGTGGATTCATGCATGAACAAAGCAAGTTCCATTCATCCTACATCCTTTTAGTTTTATGAGGGATGTGTGCAAGCACCAGGAGCGAGGACATAGAAGTTAACTTCAACACACTGGTAACTGTATGCATGGCAATTTTGAGATGCATTTTGATGTGACTGGTGTGGATGCTGCATCCCCATACTGGACAGCAGTATTCCCCTGTTGAGTGCACGAGGGCGAGTGACACTGTCAGGAGAGTTCATGCTTTGCAGTCCCAGCAGGTCCCAGCTAGTTTGTGGATGATGTTGTGGCATGTCTTCATCTTGTTGCTCACCTGCACTAAGTCTTGTGTGTAGGTGAGGCTCCGGTTGAGGGTGACGCCAAGATACTTTGGCAGGGACATGTGGATGATGGTCTTGCCACAGAACTCAATTATTTTTGGCTCAGCATTGTTAAGATGGAACACTGAGGATATGGTCTTCATTGGGTTCGGTTTCAGCTGCTAGTAGTGGAAGTAATATTTCACTATCTTCAGATCAGCATTGAGGGTGTCTTGGCCCTCCATCAGTGACATCGCTTAGATGGCGAGGGCAATGTTGTCCACATAAGTGAACTTGCAGTATATTGTAGTGCTGACCCAATAAAAAATCCCCATCAAGAAGAACTGTCATGGTAAGCAGCCATGCCAAGATTTCAATTAACATAACACTGCTTGTCCACACACCAGTTGCTAGCAGTCACCACTTGTGATCTAGACTAACAGCCAATTTGCAAGACCTTGCTACTAATGATTTTTGGTTGTCACACACAAGGTCTATTCATGTTTATGGTAAGCACTCTGCCAATTTGCTTACATGGACCTCTGCAGTTACAAAGTGGGTTGAAGTGGCACTCAAAGAAATAGAGAAGTTGGGGAGAAGCTGGCAGAAGTGTATACACTTGCTGGTAATTACATAAATAAAGAGGGCACAAAATTGAAGTCACCAGTTACTGCATCCTGACTTTGGACAACCCTTACATATGATACAAATGCAAATGGAAGGCAAGTTTCAAGCTCTAAAAAAAGGCAGAGTTTTGGCTGAGTACCTTCATTATAGCAAAAATACATCAAGAATGAAGTCAGATGCTTTGAATTGGAAGTGGTACCAGTAGAAGTGTGTTCAGAAATACACATGCATACAGGGTATACCTGCATAATAATTGCTCACATTATCCAAACTTACATATGGAAGAAAATGGTTAAATAAGAGAGATGTGATCATGAGGATATATACACTTTTCTTCCCCTTTATCTTTCAATAAATAGGTTGTAGGTTTGGTCAACCAGAAAGTGTGATAATTGCCATTGCTGTTTTTCATGCATGCACTCTTACAATATTTTAATGAAATTGATTTATTTTTCCAGATTAATATGGAGGGCATAGTTGTGCTCCAATCATGGTCACATCAATGAATACAAGAAAAATAAAAGGAGACTGCCCCTGAATGACAGCAAACTAAATCACCAACCTGGAAATTACAACAAAAACTTTTATTCAACATGAAAGCCTTCCATGAGGCACCATGGGATAAGTACCCCTCATTGAGATCATGAACATTATAAGCAACAGGAAGGAGAATGACCTAAGTACCTTCTGCCAGTGCAAGCCTGCCACCCTTATTCTACATATTATTGGATGTCTGCTGCAACCCCTTTACTAGATTGTAGAACATCCTGTCTGATGGAAGGTCTCATTTTTAATTAGTGTTTTTTTCTGATCCTTTTTAGAAGTGCACAAAATACCCCAATTGGAACTTACAAAAAGCAGCTGGAGCTTTAATTTTGTGCATCCTTCAAACAGTTGCAGAAAATGGACAAATAAAAAACCATGGCATATGCAATGAATGAAGTAACATGCTATATGCAAAGGAAGCTGTCAGATATGATGGCAAGAGATGCAAATGGTAACTCACTTGAGGAGCCAGGGAAGAGAACAGGATCAAGGCTGAGCTTGTAGCCTTCAAGAGCAAGGAGAAGGAGATGATAGCACTGGTTCCAATCTGTCTTTGGGTTCTGCGGGGCCACACAACGCATGGCAGCTACTCTCCGAAAGAAGGCTGCCTTCCGATGGAACCCAATGCAGGAATACAGCTCAGACAGTGTCACAAACCTCTGAATCTACCAAACAAATAAAAGGGACATTCCTCCTTCAAAACTTAAGCAGCTGTCATTGGGCATTTATTAATAAAAAAAAGGTTTTGGAATTGAATTGTTTTTTCCACATTCAATTCCAACCTGTCCAGTCCTTATAAATTAATTATATTCCATTCCAAGAGTTTGACTTTATGTATTTTTATTTTCCCTTACAGAGCAGGCAACCTACAGACTTCATTAAAAAAAGAAACCCAAAATATTTGTTATAAATGATTAAAAAATAAATTTTAAATAATTTTTTTTTTAATTCAAATAACTTCAGGATTTCTGCTTACCAATACATGACTGAATCAACCATGAAACAATAAAAACAGTACTTACATGCAGAATGCAAGTTAGACAGAATTGTATATATGCTAATCTGAACTTGAAATCAGTCACATAAAAATTGACATGACAATGACAAATACATAGTCCATGACTTGCATTCTGAAAGTAGAGATCACTTCCTAAGGGAAAACCAGGAAATATTACTCCAAAATGACTACAAAAAAAATATTGGCAGAGCTCTTGGAATAGAACAGAATGAACATGATTTACTTTCTAATGGTAAGTAAGTTTGTTCATTTCTGTTTTTCATTTCACTTCCATCAATGAATAATGACTCAGGTTTACTTCTAAAGCCCTGGATATAATGAAAGGGAGCTGCTGAAAATAACCAACAGACCTTCTCTTCATCTGGCAAATTGAGGTTGATGAAGACAACATTCTGAAGGAAGTCAGCAGCAAGAAGAGGCTTATCTTGTTCAATGAGGATATGGGTTGCCTTGATGCTTGCCTCTGCTTCTACAATCCCTGCATGACGATACTATGTGGACAAAAAAACAACAAACTCAAAAAAAAGTCAAAAGGACTACCCAGGACTTCCAATGGGAATGAACCTTGGAGTAATGGATGATGGCTTCTCTATATTTATCTATGATATCCTCAGGAGACAGACAATTTGCTGCTGCATTTTTTACTTCTGAAGGATCCAGTCCATTGGGTAGAGAATGAGACCCTCCTGGGACCCTACAAAACATCTCAAATTATTCACCTTTTCATAGGATTGTTTTTAGGAAAAAAAAAACAATCCCAGAATGGTGGAAAAGGCACAACATTAGAACACATAAAGATATTGCTGATCTAGATTAGATTATGCACATCCTACATCAGGGGTGTCAAACTCAATTAGACTTGGGGCTGGATGGAAGCCATCCAGGGTGATTAGGGGCCACAATAAAAATCGAACAACAAATCTTTCATGCAAACAGGCTGAAATTTACATAACCAACTGTTGAAAAGGACATCGCGGGCTGGACAAAATGGACTGGCGGGTTCTTCTTATGGGTTTCGAATTAGCACTCATGAATGCTAGTTAAACATATTTCAACATGTTGAAGTTAAATTAGAATCGTTTTACAACACATAGATTTTATAACATAAAGTATAGTGTCTCCTTTTTTATTGGCAGACCCTGTACATACTCTGATAGGTTAGCTTCCAGCAGATATACTGTTGACACATATGGAATGGAATCTGTGTTAAAAGACTAAAAGATCTGTGTGACTTACTTTCCTGTTGTGCTGTTCTGCTTGTGTTTGCAAGCATAGCCCATTTGTGTTCATGTTATTTATCATATGGGTATGAATATATATTTTCTTGCTGAAAGCATTCAATACTAGTTTTTGGCACTCTATGCTTGTAGCAATAAGAGTTGCAACTGAGACTTGATTCAAATTCATTGATTTGCATTACAATAAGGAAAATGCAGAAATTACCCCATGAAATGTGATCACAATGGGTACACAGAGTAAACATTAATCATTGACACAACAAATAGCTCAAAATTTTAACTGTAATAACTCTTGTGCTTCAGAGAAAGAAAAATAAATTTCCAATATTTTTTCAGGAGTTGAATGTGATGCTTTTGTACCTCTGAGTTTTACTTGTTAGCATGAGAAGGATGAATGTGCACACTGTAATTCCTTTGCAGGCACTTTTTGATAGGAATTATCTTTATTTTATCTAATTTGAAAGCAAATGCAATGGTTTTGAAGGAAGCCTCAGTAATACTCCTTTTAAATCAAATGCTACAAGTGAAGAGTGCCAAAAAATAGCACTGAAATACAAAATTTCAGGAAGTTCAAATATCCAGGAGTCTATACTAATTTATAGCAATACAAATGGGCTGAACAAGCACACAAGCACAAGCAGAATAACACACCAGTAAAGTTACCATACCATAGACTCTTACCATAAATACCATTCTACATCCTATCACCACATAAGCTTGAAGCTGGCATATCAGAGTAATGCAGAGCATCTAAATCATCATACCACATATTAACCAGAATACAATCCATCATCGTCAATCATTCTTATTTTCAGGAACAATATAAAAATATAATGATGGAGATTGAGAACCCACTTTGGGCGACAAGAGTCTCCAACATTGAGGGAAGAATTCCGTTGGACAACCTGAGTTCGTCCAACATTAGGATACAGGAGAATGGCAGATGTGGTAGCAAGGCCTTCCAATGCACCTGAAATACACAGCTAACTGAATTTAGTTTTCACTGATATGAGGAAGAATTCATGATGGGCTGAGAAAGAGGTTTTAAAGACTTACAGCCAAGCCAGAACCAGTCATTGACAGGTCGAAGGATATCAACGGCAGCTATGTAGAGAGGTATACTTTCCCCTGGTAAACCAGCTTGCAGACTCAGGTCTGCTAAATGCTTCTTTGCCCTTCCAATGCATCTTTTCCTATTGCTTCTGGAATCCAAGTCAATCCCTACAAAATCTTTCTTCTCAAATGGAGCACATAATAATGGCACCTAAATGAAAAGGACAAAAACAAACTCTTAGTAACTATTTAAATCAAATATTTAGCTTCCAATTTCAACAGGAAAGTGAAGTGACCTTTTCCAGACGCTCAAGGCCCTTTTCCATTCGTTTTGATTCCAAGACCCAGAAAAGAGAAGAGACAAAGTCAATGATGTCACTCTCAAGCCTATCACAGGAATCTACACATGGGTAGAAGAGAGGGGTCGTTCGGAAATCCCCATGAGATGAGGAACTCTTGGCTTCATTTGCTGATTGCCCATTGACTATGTGATCATCTGCTGCTGAAGTAGCTCGTCCTGGCTCAGGGGATGAGCAGATAGTCCCATCCTCTCGCACCCCAAAGATGATGCAGCGAGAGTCATACAATGTGACGTTGTAGCGGGTCTTGAGACTCTCATGTTGCCGACAGATTTCATTCAGCTCCCCCTGATTGGTGCACTTTCCTGTCAATGAAATAGGATTAGTAAGTATATCTTGGGTACCAGATTAGACATTTCTGTCCAAAACTGCAGCCTTGTTCTAATGGGCCAGTAATCTCTCAAGTGCTACAAGTATTTTGCTACAAAATATCTACAATAAGGTAGATATTTTAAGCTTTAAGATAAGCATATTTTACGAATCATAACTGGTTCAGAACTACCTTCTGTGGATTGATATTTCGCTTGTTTCTTTTGATTCATCATATTCAGGTGCTTCATAAATCATAAGTCTACTACTGAAATTTCAGACAGGGAGGTTGAAGGTACACTCTCCAAGATTATCAACCCAGTGCACAGTGGAGAGACTCTAAAGGCCTACCAAATGCCAATCAGCATTATGTGATCTTTATTGTCCAGATTATGAAATCATTAATGACCTCTTTTCAGATTGTGGGGCATGTGGGAGCTGACTGAATCCTTATATCCAAATTGTCCAGCACCAAAAACTTTTGGCAAATTAACTGTTCATAACAACATAACTAACTCTCACTGCTACCATTTTCATTTCATTTGGAAAGAAAAAGAAAAAGTTAAGCTGCATTTACTATGAGCTATAATACTCCTGAAATGCAATGTGCTCAAGGTATCCCTAGATAGGCAAGGGAAGGATGGTACATCCATGTGTGCCTTCCTGCATGTGTGAAAGAGAATTCAGAGAGTAAGAACTCAACAATGTAAAATTGCTAAGTTTGATAACAGTAGCCAGCAAGTCTAGTCATATTTTGGAAAGAAAAAGTGCCAAGCCTAATGCCTCTGTTTGGATCTAGCTCACACATCAGGGGAAAAGGTTGACCACTGCTGCTGTAGAAGAATCACATAGGTAACAAAGTTGTGCAGATTTTACCAGCAATTGTGACAGTGCTGGGTGGGCCATTGGAGTATTATGATGTCCACTGCACTTTGGACTAAGATTGACCAAAAAATATTAACCAACTCACCAAGGGAAATAAGTCCAAGGAGACGACGATGACTCTGGAAGTCTCCCCAATCATTATTTTCAACTGGGTACACCTTCTTGTAACGGAATCTAATATTCCTTACCCAGCCCTGCTGGTCAGTTATCTTCACCTGATTGACCTTTGAAATTCGATCAAATAGCCGATTGAAGGTCTTCCCCTTCAGCTGCTGTCCTGCAATGGAAACATCAGGACCCAGAAAATGAAGAGTCTATGCCTTCATATGAAAAAATGGATAGTTGCAAAGTACAATGCAAAACACCTCCATGCTTCCTTCAAAAGGGTAGGTAATGATAAGCATGCAAGCTAGTGACCAATGATAGAGAGATATCCATCATTCATTCCCAGTCCAATGTGAGATTGCAATGTGCAGTAAATTGTGACCAAATGGAAGGAAAAAAGGTCAGAATTTGTTGTATTGTCTTAGCTGTTGGCACCTCACATCCTGGAAACTCCTTTCTGAATGCAAATGCTGGGTCACTATTATTGAGTTTTGACATGTTCCTCAACAATAAACACACTTTGATGTAAATTAAATTGAGGCATTTTGAACCTGCAACAGAAGAAAGGATCAATTATCAGGTAACCAAAAAAGTTTGTGCAGTTTTTGAGGTTGAAATTACAGCATATGTAAAAAGTGAATGAAGATACTTTATTCAGTAATGTAAGCACCATCACAATCTATAACCTTTTCCCAACGAGATACAAGCTTGTAAATACCACTCCAAAAAAACTCCTGATCTATAGAAGCGAAGAAATCATTCAACTTTGTTTCCAGAGCTGATCAGTTTCAAAATTGTCGGTTGTGCATATGATTGTCCAGTGCCAAGAGAAGGTGGTAGTTGGATGGCGAGATGTCTGGTGAATATGGAGGGTGTGATAGAATTTCCCAACCAAGACTGTGGAGCTTGTCCAGGGTCACCTATGCTGTGTGAAGCCGCACACTGTCCTGAAGAAACACAACGCCTTTGCGATGAACCAGTGCAGGCTGTTTTTGGAACAATGCATCTTGAATCCATTGCAGTTGTGCCAAGATGTCCACAGTGATTGGCCAGTGGCAAGAAGCTCATAATGGATGATACCAGCTGTAGTCCACCAGGCACAACAAAATTTTCTGTTGGTGGATGTTGGGCTTTGGTGTGTGCAGTACAGATTCACCAGATGACAAACAATGATACAAACATTTGGTGTTGCTATACCTAACCCACTTTTCATCGCATGTCAACAACTGCTCCAAAAATGGCTCATTATTGTGGCGTGAAAGCAGTGACAAGCCGATCATAAGCCACTGGAGTTTATCAACAGTCAGTTCAAATGGTACCCATTTGCTCAGCTTCCAGACTTTTCCTAGGCGATGCAAATGCAAACAAATGGTTTCGTCACTCACATTGAACCTTTCTGCAAGCCCTTGGCATGTTTGACTTGAATCCAACTTGATGGTGGTCTTCAGTTCATAGTCATCAATGACTGTCAGTGTTCCCTCGCAGAGCGCATCTTCAAGTGTCTCATCACCTGATGCAAATTTTCTAAACCACTTTTGAGTTGTGCATTCGCTCACTGTGTTCTCTCCAAATGCTGTACATATCTTGTGTGCTGCTTGCATTGTATTAGTGCCCAGTTTAAACTCATAAAGTAAGCATGCTCGAATAACTAATCAGAGCAGACATGTTTTCGTCACCCTTCACTGTTTCACCAAACCACCCTTCAGCTTGCTAGACATCAATTGACCCACCGGGACACGTGCTTTTGACTGTGCATCTATCCATGCACCAATCTGCAATCGTGCTCATGTAATTTTAGTTAAAATGATGACATTGCAAAAACCGCACTGACTTTTTTTGTTACCTGATAGTAATAAAAAAATGTTGACTTTTGCCTGATTGCCCATCATGCTCCTAAATCATCATATTCAGAATGTCATGTTTCATGTGCAAAAGAATTCTTGGGTCTATTGGTCCTATTTGCTGAAGAATATGACTAGAGAGGCAATGAGTAATTGAATGGAAATGTTTGGTGGACTAGCAGCATTAATGGTTTCAACACAACAGCATAGCATTCTTGGGAATGAAAGGAATGTGCTTCATTCATAAGACTGTGGCAATTGCCAAAGCACATAGAGATCATGTTGAGATTATGTCAACATTGACTTCAAAAGGGACCAACCTGAATGCCTGACAAGAATCAAGAGAGCTTGATGATCCTTAACAGTTTGTCCATAATCAGGAAAGTGCATGGTTGTATCAGGTGGAGGGCTTGAAAGGATGACTGACACTGAGGATCTCATTCCAGATGTTCCTTTTCCACATCTGCACAGGCTAGATAATTTATTTTGTGATGTTGCAGTAACATGGGTCTATATGATCAGGGCAGGTTATGCTATCATACTTCATGTGACCATAAATTAATTGCAGCCCAAATATATTGAGCAAAGGCCAGAGAAAACCTGCAAAGGGGATAAGCACAGATGAAACAATAATTGAAAAATGATTTGATTAGACTGAAAAAACAGAAGGGCTAGGCCTAGCCTATATTTAAACACACAAAATTCGAAATTATGAGAATAATCACAACTGCCAGTGTCAAAGACTGCATCCTGTCAAAAGGGGACTTTTGATTATGAGCATGGTAAAATATCCAGGGCAGCCTTGGACAAGATATTGTTGGGGACTCCCAGTGAAGGAAATGAATTTTTTTAATTCAGTGAATCTTAATTTCCCAGGAAGGATATACAAGCAAGAGAAGTGGATCTGGTGTACCCCTCTAGTGATAAAAACAATCCTGCTAGTTTTTGTTCAATGAATGCCAGAAATAACACTTCTGGTAACTCTCATGTCTAGCCATAAAAGTGATCTTTCACTGGCACATCCTCCATGTACAAAAAGTTGGAATCATGGAGGGAGACTAGAGATGCCTCTTCTTTTACTGCCATTAAGACAACAAACTTTGCACCCTTGAAGTCAAAATTTCCATAGGCACCCTATGTAATGGACATGAAAGTCACAACCTTGATGAAGAACTGACTTCAGTGATAGTGGAAAGCATGGTTTTCCTTTGACCTTCATAAAGACAATGGCTTAAGAAAGTCTGGAGACAAGAAACAACAAAAGAAGTTTCCAGACTTAATCAAATGCACCTTTCATTCTCATTCACTTGATATCATCATACTATAGCTTCTGTCCCCTTTGGCACAAGAAATCACAGTATATTCTGAGTTAACCCTACCAGAGGCAAAAGACACACGACTTCCTCCCAGCTACTGCACAGGTGAAATTAAGGCATATGATTATGCTTCACTATACATATTCAAGATGACAGCAGAGAATTGGGTGATTTGTATTCATGAAATCAACCCTCAACCTCTTGGTGATATGCAAAATAGAGCTATGGGATCCATGATAAACTCCAATTCTCACTAGCCTACAGTGAATGGGGCAGCAGGCTCCATGGTCAAGGCTCCAATTGAAATCAGGAAGTGCAAGGATCATGTAGCAATCTCTCCAAATGTTATGGAGCCTGGACAACCATGGTAAATGCAGTGCGATAAATCTCTATGGTGTTACTTCAATGCAGCAATAAAAAAACTGAAATAATGTGATATGTGCAATTGACAATACAAGAAGTCACAATATATAAACACAAGCACTTGATGAATTCTGTAATGCACCAAAGAAACATAGTAAGAAGGGAAATACTTATTCATTTCAGAAAATAGACTGGGGAATGAAAATTAACAGTAAAAAGAAAGGCAAAAGAATATGTGAAGGATGTGAGCAATCATTGCTCAAATTTCAAAACCAGAAAGAATTGAGAATATAACAAGAATTCAAGGAGAATTTTGCATGAGCATGAATTAGTAAAAGCAAACTCCAATCTACAACACAATCAGATGGATCAATCTGATGTCAAAATGCATCTTCTACTTCAGTTTAAAGTTTTCAAATGCTCCCCATCATCAATAATACTACAACATTCTGGCTTCTTCATCTGACAGGAAAATTATATTGCTTCATTGGGAAAACATATGCATTTACTTAAAGGGAGCAGTGAGGAATTCACAAGAAATGGTGTCTGACTGCACATATCAGTCATGTTTTCACTTGGAGAATTGCTTGGGTAGATGATAGTTGCAAAACATACAAATGCCAGTAGTCCTAACTTATGTATGGTTATAGAAATATCCAGGACAAGATTTAACTTTGCTCTAATTGAGTCCAACAAAAATTGTATTTGGAGCAAGAACTGCCACAAACATTGGCATACGAATGTTCCATAGCAAGAGAGATAATGATAACCTATCTAATAATTTTGCATTAGGCAATAGGTACATGAAAGTCTTGTCGATTTGAGTCACAATTGAAACTCGATCAAGGTCACGAACGCGTTCTCTTATACCTTAGTGAAGGAGCTAATAAAAGTTATCGCTCTGATAATAGTTATCCTTCGCACACCCTAAGAATAGACCTAAGGTCCAATAAGGTTCATTCATGTGGACTCCAAGAACTTTTCAAAAGAAACTGTGACCAAGAGAACATTTTTCGTGGCAGAACTAATGGTTGACTTACCTTATTACTTACTTATTAAACACCTTTACCCTGATAATTGAGACATACTGGGTTAAGCCTACTGCGCTTCACGATCCAAAGAGCCGCTATTGGGACCAAAATAGCAAGGTCTACATCTTCCATAACGCCCAAGTCATTTTCTTCGTTTTGTACCCGTGCCAATCACGAAGCAAATGAAGATCAGAGGAACTACTAAAGTGGCTTTAAGAGAGGCCCAAGGAGACTTGACCCACATGACAATGAAGCAACGTGCACGAAGCCATATATGTTTCTCTCCGCACAAGGATGGTTTTCCGCCCCCTTCCTCCGCTGCAGTTTTCTGACATCTTCAAGTTAAAAAACTTGACGTCTATTTTGGTTTACTTGGCTGAAAAGCAGGTCTTCCATAATTAATATTGCTTCCATATAACTTCAGTATTAACAACTTAGAAGTTTATAGCACCATCGGCTGACTTGGTTTTTATCAGAGGAATTTGGCCTCACTGCAATGTACCAACCGATGAGAAAGTCAATATGGCTGCCCGCTCGTTGTTAACAATGTTATGTGTCCACTCACCTGGAGGCCTACTCTTAATTGATAAGATACCCGATTCCTGAAGGCTACCACCCTACATGAATACGTGATGGTCTTAGATTCGGCTTGGATCTACCTTAAGTAAAAGATGTTACATTATTTAATTTAGGGCCTCGGTATTCTGAGGAACTTTATATGGCATGGGCTTGTGGCCCCGTTATTGGCTGGCATTTGAATGAACTTATGAAAAAGTAGTATTTGCTGAACTCAATGCAGGAGCAAAAGGAGGGCGACACAGTGCTCAATTGAGGTAGGACTAGAGATCTAACGTTAGAGTATCAAGAAAGATGGGAAGACAAAGGTGAAGGAAACTCACATTAACATTGACGTGTAAAGGGTTTACTTTAAGGTTTTCCAAGAACATAAAGGTTTGTCCTGGGCTGTCCATGCTGGAATTATAACTCAGAAGTTATCTGCTCCTTTCATAGTTTTCATGTTTCTAACTTAATATATACTTCTTTCAGCTTTTATTGAATAGGTTATCAAATGGAAATTTGTAAAATAATTTTTATCTGCAAGAAGTTGTCAGATCTTGCTGCTCCAGTTGTGAATGATCTGTAACCATAATTAGCTTTTACTTGCTTTACTTATCAAGTTTATCCTGGCCACTCATCAATTGAAGTTCAATGCTACTCATCTTCAGATCTCTCTATGATCTGATATACAATTGCACTTGATCATTGACAATATTTGACAATCATGGATGGCAAATTTTATGCTGTATAAGTTAGTTTCAAAACATTTCCAGCCATTAAAAGTGAATTATAGATGGAACATCTTTCAAAGTTCCTCATATCTCCACTTTCAGTTGCTCAGAGGGAATGCATTGACATCATGTCAGAGTCCAGGGTCTTGTGAATATCAGCTCCTATAGGCTTAACCTCCCATCCTTCCCCTTCACACCACTTACTGGACCTCAGGCTTTATTGTGATGTGTAAGAATATTGTAGCCGCCTGGCTTGGAGAAGTTAATAAGGATAACAAATTTGGCAAACTAAAGTGAATTTTATTGCTCATGTCTCTCATAGACACTTCAATTAAATGCCCAAGGCTTAAGTGGTTATGGTGGGAAATGAAGGAAAGAGGACATATAGAGAGAGAGGGTGAAGGAAGGTGCATTCACAGAGACATGGATCTCATTAATTGAGATTCATGTCTCAATTAAGGGAAACATTTTTTTTTTTATAAGGTAGGGGAAAGAAAGGAGGTTTTTCTTAACTGAAACAGGGATAATGCCTTCCAATATTCAATACATATTTTGGCTGAGGCATAGTGAGGGAGTTTGGGGTTTGGGAGTTCATGCCTTGATATCACAACCCACCCTGCTCTGCCCTACTCCTTAGTTCTTAACTGCACATGCTCCAAACTTTGCTAACTTTGTGAATAAAAAAAAAAACAACCCTGCATCTTCTCCTTTGTGGTTGACTTTTCCATAGATGCCATGGTCAACCTCTTCAAAGGTGGTAGTTGATTCATGATTGCTACTTCAAGGGTAGCCTGACATTCCAGGAAAAGAGAGGTTTGACCGAGGTAAATACTTGAAAGAACATTGATTGCTCATTGCAATCTCCCATTGCATTGAAGAAAAAATGGGTTGTGCCATAAGTACCCATGCTGACAAAGAAGCCATTGAAAGGTCCAAGAAGATTGACAAGGATCTAAGAGCTGATGGGGAGAGAGCTGCCAGAGAAGTCAAGTTACTCTTGCTTGGTAAGGAATGGTACCTTTTAATCAAATAGATATGTTTGTTTGTATAGGGTATAACAAGTCAGGAATCATGTGATTACAATGTATGGACTATTTGCTGCCTAGACTGGAACCAACCTGCCCATCTGATTAAATACAAAAACAACTAAGTTATTATTGAAAAATCTGGTCCAAATGATCCTAAGAGATCCATTGAGCTAACTTGCATAATATTTTGAGTCACATTGAGTATATTTTTAGTAAACTTGGATCACTCTAAGATCAAGTAGGATCAGTGGGTCGAGTTGGGTAACTCTCAGACCAAATATTATGATAAGGTAATTTACTGGGTGTTCTAATAGTTCCTGACACACTCATGCAAAATGTAGGTAAATGCAATGCAAACCACTGCAAAAAAAAAAAAACAAACCTACATGGACTGTGATGAACTGGGCTACATGCCCTGGCCAAGAAAATGCTATGTTGATACAGAGCAAATTTCCATGCTACATGACTGGCCTCACATTCCATGTCATCGAAGAAACTAGTGTAGAGGTCTGGAAGAAGTGGGCAAAGAACTCTCTGGACTTTAACCCCATTGAATGCCTGTACCATGGGCCAGGCAGGATGTTCTGCATCAACCTCAATCCAGATATCAGGAGTAACTTATTACAAGGGTCCAAGAGGAGTGTGAAACTATCATGATAAATGACACTACTTTAGTAATTGAGGATCAAAAGTTCCTTGTGGCTAGCTGAGGTAATTCCAAGTATCAATGCAGAAGTTGGTTCCTGGCTATGTGGAATGCAAATGAATCAATGCTTTCCCATTAGTCTTGTCTCCATTTTTATGTTAGTTGGTCAGAAACACTTTTTTGGAACATCCTATTTCTGTATCCTTATCAAGTAGTCTGGTGAGTTCCAAGTAGTCTAGGCACAGAACAATCTATGCATTAAAGTTATGCTATTCCTGACATTTATTGCACCTTTGTTACACCTACCAAATTACCACTGGGAAATTGTTATCTGGAGCAATTGTATTATTTTCAGGCGCTGGAGAGAGTGGTAAGAGTACCATTGTGAAGCAGATGAAGATCATCCATGAAACAGGGTATTCCAGGGAGGAATGTGAGCAGTATCGACCAGTGGTTTACAGTAACACAATTCAAAGCCTGATGGCCATCATCAGAGCCATGGGACAATTGAAGGTTGAATTTGCTGATCCATCTCGAACAGTAGGTCATTGATAGCTACAAGGTTGTATCATCTGGATTCTGGATGTCTTCAGTGTTGATTTGTGAAATGTCTGTTGTCAGGAGGATGCCCGGACATTTTTCACTCTTGCAAGTGCAGTGGATGAAGGAACCATGACTCCTGAGCTCTCTGCTGTCATGAAGCGTCTATGGACAGACAAGGGGGTTCAGCATTGCTTTCATCGCTCCCGAGAATACCAGGTCAAAATTTGTTTCTGTATTCTTTGAGATGAGGTATGGGAAAACCAAGTTTTTCTTCTTGGGCCACATTTAAGTGGAAATTAGAGGATTTAGTTTTAGGATAGTTTTGTATGCATAATTGACTTTTTTTTTACATTTTGAGAGCCTTAAAGAGTTTAATAATTAAAATTGGCATAGTAATTCAAGTTTGATACTGTAAGTGGATAAGTGAGAGTTGAATTTAAAAATATTAACTGGAGTGGAGTCAAAATCATTAGTAATACCAATTTCATTTTTAACGGTTCTTCAAAATATTCTGGATGTAATTCAGAATGTAATGGATTCTTCAAAATATCTTGAAACTATGTGAGGTTTTATTGTAAAATTAGAAGTATATGTGGGTCATGAACTGTGAAAGGACAAATGATTGTCTCATTTGAATAAAGTCAAAGGCAAAACCAAAGTTAGTATTAAAATGAAAATGGAAGGCTGAATGTGCAAATGTGATCAGAGTGACACAAGTGGCTGGCTTTTTTCTTGCCCATTTTATGAGCGGCATCCAATATCCCTTAACCCATCCAATGATGTAATAGTGTGCCATGTTTAAACTGGTCATACTTATGTTGTTCTATAACACCATTAGAAAGAAATGGATTACTAAAGGTAACTTTTCTTCAAGTTGTAACACCTTTTACCTTTAGTAACCCATCTGTTTCCGATTGTGTAGTAGTGTGGGATTGGTGAAATTGACCAGTTTAACCCTTTAAGAAGTGGGTTTTTTTAACCCCTAAAAGATCACTCATAGTAAATACATGAAGGGCAGGAGGATGTCAGCCCGTATATATACGGGCATACTTGTCAGAGGGTTAAATATGACATATAGCATGTCGTTGGATGCAAATGGGTTAATCTCAGGTGTGATTCAATAATATCAGGTACCTGAAAGATTGAGTGCAAAAAGATCTTTATCTTTCTTTGTGTCTTATTTATTTCCATTGAACCTTGGCATATTTGCAGTTGAATGATTCGGCTGGGTATTACCTGAATGCCCTGGATAGAATCTCCCAGCCTGGATATGTGCCAACCCAGCAGGATGTGCTCAGAACTCGAGTGAAGACCACAGGGATTGTTGAAACTCATTTTGAATTCAAAGGATTACATTTCAAGTGAGAATGCGTCTCTTTCTTTTTTTGTGTCAATGGTGAGCTTTCCTTGAATACCACTGGCTTTTTGCAGGATGTTTGATGTTGGAGGTCAGAGATCAGAGAGAAAGAAGTGGATTCATTGCTTTGAAGGTGTCACTGCCATAATATTTTGTGTTGCTTTGTCTGGTGAGTTTCTTGTTCATGAACCCATTAAGCCAATAAGAATGTTTATTTTTGGTTTTGCTTTTCATTGACATTGTTTTATATCTTTTCTTTTAGGTTATGACCTTGTGCTGGCTGAAGATGAGGAGATGAATCGTATGATTGAAAGCATGAAATTGTTTGATTCCATCTGTAACAACAAGTGGTTTGTTGACACAAGTATCATCCTTTTCTTGAACAAAAAGGACCTTTTTGAAGAGAAGATCACCAAATCACCTCTCACTATCTGCTTCCCTGAATACACCGGTACTGTCATATGCTTTGCTTTCATTTTTTATTCTAGGATCGAGAAATAATACCCTCTTAAGGTGTTATTTGCATATTAGTTTCCATGTATAAACTTCTGTTTGCCCCTCAGTCATTCTTTGTCCACCCTTGTTGTATGTTTGACCGTCTAGAGTTTTCTATCTTTTTTCATAAAGTAACAAATTTAAAATTAAATAATCCATTTTATAATGCGAGGAAGATTCAGTGAGAAGTTGATGGATTGGGATCTGCAAGGACAAGGGTGGATACTTGCTAAGACTTGCTACATGTAGGACTGGGGATATTTATTGTGAGTCTAGCAAGAAGGTTTTTCACCCTTGCATGGGTCTCACGGAATAAAGAATGGAAGTATACTAGGACAAATTTTCATCTAGATACCTCCAGTGACAGTTGAAGACCAGATTTCAGGATGCCTAGGCTTGTTTCAGTGTAAAAAAATAGCATGGTACCAATGAAATACAAGGATACATTTTCAAATCAGCTGTCTAGCTTGACTGAGCCTTATTAAATTCAAACTGACAGAATGTTTCTGTGAAGTCATTGAGTATGTATTTTTGCATTTAGGTTCAAACACTTACGAGGAAGCAGCTGCCTACATCCGGATGAAGTTTGAAAATCTGAACAAGAGGAAAGATCAGAAAGAGATCTTCACTCATTTCACTTGTGCCACTGACACCAACAACATCCAATTTGTTTTTGATGCCGTCACAGACATCATCATCCGCAACAACCTCAAGGACTGTGGCCTCTTCTAAACGCTTTGTTCTTTTTTATCTCCATGCCATTGGTCTTCCTTCATGTCTGATTGGATGTTCAGACATGAGTCTAAATGAAAGGCACAAATATTTTGGTGAGAGGTGAGGTTTTCTTGAAAAGGAGCTGCAAACTCTGCCTCCTTCAAATACTCGTAATATAATCTTGAAGCATTTGTCCTCGCTCTCTTCTTTGCCGTGTTCAGCCAAAGAGACCTCTCAGTTGCCATGACATAAGGAATTGAACGAATGCAGAATCTCTAAATTTTTCACTCTCCTTCTCTGTGATCTTTTCTATCTTGTGGGATGTTTCCTTGTGATAGTCCTGGTGCCATGTATCTCTTCCTTCTGCTCTTCCATTTGAGGCCAAATCTTTTTCATATCATTTGGAGAACTTTCTTCACAGCTCAAATTGTGAATCTCTTAACCTATTTCTGTATGACATGCTTTAAAATATTCTCCACTTTTTTTATGACTTCATTACAGTATTCCTTGTGTTTTGTTTCTGTGGGTTTTTATCTTTGTACTCTTTTGATATGCAGGCGGCATTGAGTGCCATGACTTCATTCCTTCTTCTTTTGTCATCTATAAAAAAAAATTTGTCTTGCCAATTGCATTATTTCCTTCTTGGGTTCAATGACATTTAAACTGGGTATGGCAAAAAAAATTGCCAATGACTTTTGACCTAAATATCTCCACTCATATTGGAACTATTTTCACAAAACGTTCACTTTGCATGTATGAGTGTGTTTCTAACTGATAGGCAAAATAGTCGACTCTCAGTATAACGAACACTGATATAACGAAAAACCGGTTATACCGAAATCCTTGACGTTGCCCGGCCGAATGTCCATCGACATCCATGCTAAAAAAAATTAGGCTATAAAGAAATTCCCGATATAAGAAAGAATTTATGTGTTCCCCAGATAGAAACTACGCAGGATATAATTAATTTTCTCCCGTCCAGAAGGAATAATTTTTTCCCATTTCGACGGGAAGTGCAGAAGGGTCAGCCCTCCACCTCGGTCTTCAGCTGCACGGTCTTTGAGAATCAAGGATTTGACGCGTGCAGAATGTGCGTGATGGGGGGAATGTGAATTGCAGGGGATGTGAAAATGGAAGATGCAAGTGAACGAAGCACTTCAGTGCTCGCGCTCAGCAGCTTTTCGTCGGGCTCCCTAGTTTCATTGATCCCGTGCGAGTTTCATTGTACAGTGTTTTTCACTTGACTCAGACACACGTGCATGGGACGTTCCTCATGCATGGGTGTCGAAGTCAAGTGAAAAACACTATAAGGCTTTGGGAGGTCCATGCCCTTTACACGGTAGAAGCTTTTACAAATTCAACCCTTTCGCTGCGTAATTCATTTTGGCACGAAGCCAATGGCAACATTGCAGGAAGCAACTGAAGTCGCTTTTCGCAGCGTAAGGGTTACCATACGTCCGGTTTTTCCCTGACATGTCCTCTTTCTTCACTTTCCGTCCGGGAGGAAGGCGTCCCTATGGATTACTATTAGGATTATTATTGTTTATTAAAACTAGAGCTGTCACGATAGCAGTTTTCAAAACATCGATGCATCGGGGGGGGGGGGGCCGGAGGATTCCATCTTTTCTCGCCGCGATTGGAGCGCGGACCTCTATCCGGCTTCCATTATCTCATGCTTGTGATCGGGGGTGCAGGGGGAATGTGTGACCTTCGCAAAGAGTAATGAAACCTACCATGCCTCCAACTATCGAAGATGACATCCATTCATCGATGGATGCATCAGGACAGCCCAAATTTTTTTCCTTTTGCCGTTGAGAATCAGCTGCCAAGCCCCGTTCACGTAATTTTTTTCTCCCTTTTTCTTCGTTCTACAATGTCTTTGGACATCGGCACCACCAGATAGGAAACCTGCTGATGGTGCCATACCGGCGGTTGCCGAAACATCGGTACAGCCCTAGTATAGGCAACGTCTATGTACAATATTCACTCTGAGTTCACCTTAAGTAGAGATAATTTTTAACTTGCCCTAGGACATTTAAGAACATTAAGCCTGCATACTAAAGTGATAGGAATATAGAGAGGGGATTAGCCAATGTAGGTTTCGAAATCAAGGGAGTAAAAGAACAGTTCACTTTCGTAGCATGCACCTGATGAGATAGAGCCGAAGACAGAAACCGAAGAAAAAAAAATTCTCGGTCTTCACCCCTCCCCTTTCCCACTTCCTGTCTCCGATCCGACTTCTTTTTCCCTTCCCGTCTTTCTTATAGTCAGTCCTAGCATTTCCGGAATTTGATTGTGATAAGAAATCGCAAGCCCATGCGCGTCACGCCGCTTCTTCCTTTCCCCGCCCGGACGGACTGAATTGTACTGTACTCGCCTCAATCTAATGAGACATTTCCCCTTTAAAATACTTTGTCGATGCATCGCGATTGTCGAAAAAACTATCGATAGTGGTATCGATGCATCGATCTATCGTGACAGCCCTAGTTACAATACGTCCGGATATTTTCCTTGGACATGTCCCGTCACTTTCGGATTCAAATTTACGTCCGACTTCTAAGCGTCTTCTTTTTGGCTGTCTGGAATATGGTAACCCTAGAAGACATCAGCTGCCAAAGCAATTTCCGACACTATGACCGCTATGCCTCGTGACCCACCAGCGGATAAGTGGCAATGAAGGTGTTGTAATAAGTAATGTCGTCCATGAAATCCTCAAAAGCCGTAGGGCTCCCAAAGTCCACCCACGGGATAATAATAATAATATATTCACAGGCATAACGAGATTCAGTTCTCTAATTGGAGATATACGACTCCTTCCTGATATAACGAAATAATTCCGGTGGCTTCATCAGCTTCGTTATAACGAGAGTCGACTGTATCATTTGAAATTTGGTTAACTGAAGCAATACTTTCAGCAATTAATAAAAATAAGTTAGATTTTGAGAATAGACAAGAACTTCTGCCGGTAGTGGAGTGGAGGACTCTCCCGCACTGTACTTCCTGGTCATTCAGACCAGATTAAACTTCACTTCCATTTAAATTCATTCATTGGGCTGATTGTCTCTTTCAGGTGATTTTCATAAGCTTATTCCTAATCAGTAGCAGATGAATCTATGAATATCAATCCAGAGAGTTTTCTCAACATTACTGTATTTTAGAATTTTCCTTGTTTTAAATCAGGCTGAGTCTGCAGGGTATGACAAAAAAGACCAAACACTTTGAGCGTATCACATGATTGCTTAAATCATATCTCACCAAATTTGCTGAGGATGTAGCATTTTTCCATTTATTTTAAATTCAACATGCTGCAAAACGCCATTAATTCAGATCAAAGTCATAAACGATATTATATCTATGACAAGTCTGACAATCGAAATGGATAGTTCTTTTTTATTTTAAACCAAGGGAAGTTCCTTATGAAATTTAAGGAAACTCTGGATTGAAGTTCTATGGTCGCGTCTTTTTCTCCAGCCGCTAGCAGCTGCTGGCGAAAGAGACGCGATGGCTATGCACGACCGCGTCTTTCAATGACGTCACTATTGGGCAAACAGCTGCCAGCAGAACATTGCGATCTATGATAACGCTGAGCAGCTAAGCCTTAAAATGACATCATTGGATGCTGGAGGTCTCAGCAGAGCCAGCAGAGACGCTAGCAAGAAGACACGCCCATTGATGCGTATTCATTGGGAATAAGCTCACGAAAACCAACTGCATGAGACAACCAGCACAATGAATGAATTTAAACAAGAGGAGCTCCTGTCCATTCTCAATGTGCCTTGGTGCAATAAATTTTGGTGAAATTTTATGCATCAAATGGAAACATACAAGTGCAAAGTGAAAGTTTCACAAGAATAGCTGTTGTGAGTGGAGATATTTATGCTGAAAGTAGTTGATTTTTTTTTGCCATACCTTGTATATACCATTCCAAAGAAAAAACAGCAGTGGTGGCAAGGAAAGAAGAGAGTTGCACAAACAGATCCCAAGTTCCAAGGAAACACATGTTGCCTTTGGTCCTGCCTCATTCCGTCTTGCTAGGACATGGGTTCAATCAGAGGAGGGCCATTAGTTTCGAATGGGGCTCAGGATTTCAGGTGGTATTCTCTTTCCCAGCAGGGGGATGTCCCACTAGTTTTTTTTAATGGTATAGTGTATCATGGCGACAACACAACTTGCATTATTTAAGTGAAGCTGAGGAGCTTGAATGAAAACAGGAAGTTATTATAGCCAGTGGGTTTCTCTTCCAGCATAGAGGACTTCATGTCTTCTTGAAACTTCATTTGAAGACATTTCTGGACATTAGGATATTTTGGCATTACTGCAATGTAATCAGTTGTGTGCAGGTACAGCTAGTTCTAGTTTATCCAAATGACAGCAATAAGTTGCTCCTTTTGATTCAGACAAGGAATGGCTCCAGAAGAAATTTCTTAAAACCTATATTGAAAATCTCTATCTCATCTTATCTTACCTGGATAGGTTCAATATTCCCCATGGCCATGTTTACAGGGAGAATGCTCTCTGTGAACCTGGCCATGGTTTTGGTCTTCCAAAAGGCACAAGAGATACAGATATGTAGAATACAGCAGAAAAAAGTGCTCTCAGTCTCTGTAATAAAATAAAATCTCACCCCAGGAATTAGAGGTGAGAAAAAACTTTCATCTCTGTTGACCTTGCCCCTTACGTTGAATCAGGGTAATGAAAATTGCTCATCAATATGACTTTCTCTCACTCTTTGCAATCATCTCTTTCTCTCATCAGTCTCATCCATCCTTTCCATTAAAGCCTCAACAACTTCCTCACCTTCCTCCCATCATGAATTAACATTCCCTGTGTTATCAGACACAAAGTTTTATAGATGAATTGAAGCCCCAAAAAACGTTGAATTTCTTTGTTACCAGTGGTTGAAAGAACTGTGTGGTTACAATTCACATGGAAAGAGATGACTGAATAAATGAATTCATCACCCATTATGCTGGAAGTGCAGTTATCTCTGGTGGGGAAAAATAAAATTGAGAAGTCACTCAGGTTTTCCATGATTTATAGGAGCCTTTAACTTACACAACGTCACCAGTCCCCTGAAGTCCAGATTGATGACAGCTGACAGTATTCAATGGATTTCAAGTCATGAACATGATCATACATCCAATAGATGTACTGCTAAGTGCAGTCAGGAGTCAGGAGAGTTAGTGATATCAAGAGGCGATTTCGCCCATTTCGATATCACGTGTCGATGTCGAGCGTTCTTTAATTTAGGGTAGGCCTAACCCTCTTAAAGCTAAATATTTTTGTATTTTTTTTTTTTTTACTATCCTAGTTGCTTACTGTCTAGTACCTACGTCAAAATTGCCCCCCACCTTTTTGCCTGTCCATGAAAGCATCTAGTTTCTTCTTAAAGATAGTCACAGAAGGGGCAGCCACTACTTCGTCATCTAACGCATTCCACGCGTTCACCACTCTGCAAGTAAAGAATTCCTGTCTCGACCTGAGCCGCACCTGCGGTTT